CCCCCAAAACCCCAAAACCCCAAAACCCCATATTTATTAAAATAAATTGAAATATCTAAAATGTCTGGCATGCTTGTTTCTGAAGATACTAAATCTAGAAGTAGTGACCTGACCTTTAAAGAAATAATGACTGTCTGCAGTAAGTTTTAAATTACCCTATATAGCAACCTTTGATTTCATGCTAAACAAGAACTTGCTTGTTGAATATTTAGAGTGGCTTTTAGCTCATCATAAATACGCGATAATTGAAGCTCTTTTCTTTCAATTTTTCTTAGAATTTGTTGATACTTGCTCATACAAGGATGAACAAAGACAGAAGAGGCTGATGAGAATCATAAAACTTAAAGAACTTGTTGCTATAGTGTTAGTTAAAGGCCAATATCACAACATTATTCATTATTTGATAGCAAATAAGTATGATCATAATTTGACTAAGGAGTTCAGAAGGAAGAATCCTCCCACAAAGTAATTATCATGCTCCAATATAGATCGCTCAAGAGTGTCAGTACTGTATCAAACTTCAAGCCTTTGCTACAGATGAATTACAACCAATTGAGAGAATGTATTGAGTTTTCGGTCCAATATTTCAAACAGATAGAGACTGGAGAGAAAGAACAATTGATTAGCAAACAGATTATGTTGTATTGTCTCCTTTGTGATACCAAATTGGCTGAAAAGGTAAGTAACCTTATCAAGCCATAGTCTGATCAAATATTGAAAATGCTGTCTAATGTATTTAAATCTACTGAAAAATTTGAAGCAAATTTTTCGTACGAAGAATTGACCAAAATACTGGAAGACTACCAAGAACTTTCAAAGGTATTACGTGAATCAAAAGCGGCCAAGAATGCAGAGAATGAGGAACTGAAAATAGTTATCACTCAGTTTGGTACCCCATCTTGCTTACTCCTAGACGAGCATAAGTTAGATCTTGATGGCAACAGGCTTCCCAATGTGGCTAGATATTTCTTTGAGGCTATCGGTATGTGCTATGTTCAACTATTTAACTCTCTGTAGGATATCTCCAATCTTTTAACTTCAAGAAGTCAGAGTATTTATTCCAAAAATTAATCGTTATGATTTTGAAGCAAGAGAGTTCTCAGAAAGAAGCTGATAATTTTAATGTAAGTCCTTGATTATCTCTCTAGGTAAAAATTTACTGAGACTCTATCCATTTTGTCAACGTTATAAAGCTGATAAACCTGAGAAGTAAAGCTTATAGCACACATGATCTGAGGAAAGCCCTTCTAGAGACATCTAAGATTTTCATGCAGTATCCTTACCCAGACTTGTACATAAAGATTCCTAGTGAGTATAGGAAGGTGGAAGGGTTCTCTGAAATGAGCCTGTTTGATTTGATTATCAATTGTGTACATAACTTCTTGAGATATCCTATTGAAGAGGTACCCTTCCCTTATAATCAGTTTAGAACAAGAATTTAGAAGGAGTTCATCGCAAGTTGATCAAGAAATTTCTGAAAAACTTGATTGCTCATCTCAGTAGTTCCAAGAAAGGTTTGAAATTAAGTCAATATTTATAGGTAAAAATCCTGTCATTGTGAAAATGAACAAGACTTATACAGGGATGCTGACTTTCTTGTGAGGAGTATATGACTCCCCTGTCAATAGGATAGACCATCTCAATAAGGATTTTAAGAGGGTTGAGCATAAGGAATATAACCTATTATTTGAAGGAGCTCAAGATTATATACATCTATTAAAGAAGTCAAAATTAGCTGGTGTTAATCTAGGTATGATTTCATATAATCTTAGGTATCCCAAAATCAAGAGTAGCCTCAGAACAGCAGAGCAAGGGCGAGGAAGACTCTAAACAGGAAGGAGAGAAGAAGTCTAAAACTTCTAGTAACAGTAAGTCTTTGTGCTTGACCTTAGAACTATTGTCTTTGTGCATGAGCATCAAGAAACATTGTGAGGAATTAAAGCATGTTCTTTCAAAAGCAGATAAAAATTATTGAAGAGAAATCCCAAGAAGCTCCAAACTTCAAAGATTAAACATCGAATGCAGTATTATAAATTCCTTCATGAAAAATAAGAGCCGCAAGAGTGCCTTAAAGTACTTCCTTGAATTCGAGGACACCGCTATTAGTGACTGGAGTTGGATCGAAGAGATATCAAAAAGGAGTATGAAGACAATGTTTCAGACAGAGACTATTCACCAAATCTCAGATTGAATTCTTGCTCTCTCTAATCCATTCGAGGCAAGTCTGATCTACCAGATCTGCAACATTAAGGATACAGTTGTGAAGGAAAACATTGGGAAAAGCATTATTAACTATTATGCAGTGAATACCTCTCTACTAGGAGACGAAACTCTTGTCAGCTCAACAGCTTTGTAAGGAACTTCGTCTAATCATTTAGAGATAACCTTGAAAGAGATCTTAATAGTGCTCTTGAATATGTATGGAGTATTGACTACCTCAGTCAGCTAGTCATTTGCTTAAACTCAACGAAGAAATCTATTGCCAAAAAGAACGCTATGAAGTCAGTTAAAAATAAAATGGGTAAGCCCAGATATATGAAATATAGCTGCTCTGAGCGACCATTCCAGACATGCAAGCGATATTGAAATGACTTTAGAGAAAAAGACTTCTAGAAGTCCTCAATCTGGGAAGAACTCTGACAGTAGTTATTCTAATAGCATCAAGAAGCTTATTGAAAGAATGGAAGCTCTAGATTTAGAGGAGGAAGAGTTCTTCCAAAAGGAGCCTTCAGCACCAGACGAGAAATGGGTTGCAAAGTATAGATCGAAGCTCCGTTTACATTTAATCTCACTGGTTAATAAGACTTCATAAGCTTCAACCCAGTGGTATCTTTAGGGGTTTTGGGGTTTTGGGGTTTTGGGGTTTTGGGG